TGGGCGCCAACATGCCCACCTTACAACGGTGATTCTTTTCTTAGGAAAGTTCTTAGAATGTGAACTTCTGGACCTGGAGTTGTGCAGAATTCTGAAATTTTGATCCACATCATCTGACCTCCCTCTGGAAAGGAGGCTCCAAGTTCACATTCAGCTTGGTGTTTGACAGGTGCATGCCCATTGTGGTCAACAGTAGCTGCCAGGCCTTTTAAATCTTTCTTGCGTTGGTGTGTGAAAGGCTGTTTTTAAAAGCTTTCTCGATATGGTGAATTTTTTTTTTCTTCCAGTACTGGGGATCAAACTCAGGACCTTGCACTTGCCAGGCAGGCACCGGTACCACTGAGCTACATCCCTGGCCCTACGATATGGTGAATGTTTGATGAGTAGCCATGAGGGATGAATCAGATCTGCAAATGCCAAGAATGAGAACATCAGAAACATAAGGATGGTCTACTAAACGCTAGTCACCGGCAGCCTTGGGAAAGCAATTCACAACCAACCCAGCTGTCGATTAGCTGAGGGATGAATAAGGGAAATGTTGCCCATTCACATAATGGAATATTAGTTGGCCACAGAAAAGAATGAAGTACTGGTACTGCTACAACAGGGATAAACTTTGAAAACATGCTAAATGAAAGAAGCCAGCCACAAAAAGCCATATAGTATATGACTCCATTTATATGAGATGCCCCGAAGGGGAAGTCATAGAGATAAGAAGTAGATTAGTATTCGAGGATTGGGAACTGACAAGTAAGGTGTGAGATTTCTCTCTTGGGTGATATAAATCTAAAATCAATTGTGGTGATGGTTGCATGAATACACTAAATATTCCATGGGGTGGCACACCTTGAACAGGTGGCTTGTATAGTATGCAAATTATATCTTAGTTAAGCAGCTAAAACATGATTCCCAAACTCATTTAAATTATGCTAACTGGGCCGGGGATTTAGCTCAGTGGTTTCACCGTCTGCTGCGCAAGCGCAAGGACCCAAGTTCGATCCCTGGTACCAAAAAAAAAAATTATGCCAACTGATGTGCAGAGATGGCACATGTCTGTGATCCCAGAGCTCTAGGAAGCTGAGGCAGGAGGATAGCAAGTTGGAGCCCAGCCTGGGAAATCTGGCAATTTATCAAGACTGTGTCTCAAAAAGATAAAAATACAAAGGCTGGGGTGTAGCTCATTGTGAAGGCCCTGGGTCCAGGCCTCAGTATGTATCTGTACACACACTATCTGCTCTCTGCCAGGTGCTGGGAACATAGGCATGAGCAGGACAAATCCAGTTGCTGCCCTCATGGAACCAGTACTCTGATGTCATACTCTATTCTATGTCTTTCAAAAGAAAATACTTGTAAAAAACCCAAAACAACAAAACAAGTGGCAGTGCACGCCAGTAATACCAGCTGCTTGGGAGGGCGAAGCAGGAAGATCACAAGTTCGAGACCAGCCTGGGTAATTTAGTGGAACCCTGCCTCTAAAAAAAAAAAAAAAAAAAGGCCGCAGCCTGCCTCACAAGCACAAGGTCCCAAATTCAATCCCCAGTACCAAAAAAATAAAAATAAAAAGGGCTAGGGATGTAGATCAGCAGTGTAGGATGAGGCCTGGAGTTCAATCCCCAGTACTGAAATGAAATGAAATGAAATGAAATGAAATAAAATAAAATAAAATAAAGGTTTCTGAGACATCAGGAAATCTACTGGCCTCTAATTGACATTTTTAGAATAGTAATTTTCGTGTAATTGGAGCGAGCTGCTCAGAATGTGCATTTTAACCAAGTCCCGGGGTGGGGGGTGGGGGGGGATTGTCACTCCCAAACTCCATTCAGGTCTGGGAGTCAGAGTCCACCCTGCGTCAATGGCAGAAACTTCCCGAATTACCCTGGTCAGCTCCTCTCTGCACCTCAGGGACAGTCTGGGAAGTGGTGATTGCCAGTCCCACTGGGCCGGGACTGTACCTTCTGTGGGACTGGCCACCTGGAGAGCTGCCTATTCACTGCCGTGCACCTCGCCGTTAGCTGCAAACTCTTTTCCTCGATTCCAGGTGAAATCCACTTCCTCTGAGCAGTGCCTCTGTGTTTGTCTTCTGTTGCTGCCGGACAAATCTCCGCAAAATTAGAGGCCTGGCCCCACACACCGGCCCGGGGGCCAGGAGCAGTTACCTGGGCCCCTGGTGCTGGTTTGGACCCGGCCCGCAGCAAGGTAGTCGTTGGGGCCGCCTGGGGCTCGGGCAGCCTCCAGGCCATGCACGTTGAGGGTAGAATTTCAGGGCTGTAGATCTGAGGCCTCTGCTCCTGAAGCACCTGCAGCTCCGTACCACACGGTCCCACAAAGTCACCGGAAGGCTGCTTGCTTCCCCCCAGGCCAATGGGAGTGTGTCTGTCGGACTTCTTCCATTTATGATTTTCTCCATCTGTTTTAGAGGGTTTGCTTGGTTAGATCAGCCCTCCCACCTCCAGGATAATCTCCTTTGGTTTATTCCAAATCCACTGTAACCTACTCTCCCAAGCAACAATCCATCTTATCGCCTGGTCCTGACAACACAGCATGGGTAGATGTGATACAGGATATGTCCACCAGGGGGCAGGAGTGCGTGCGTGCATGCGTGCCTGCGTGCCTGCGTGGATGTGTGTAGAACCCAGGGCTCCCTTGTGTTGCTAGGCAAGCAGTCTGCACCAGCTGCACCCTTCAGCCCAAGGGGGCAGGAATCCTGGGGCCGTTCTAAAATCCGGGACCCTCAGCCCCACGTAGTACCGTGCTGTGGGCATCATTCACGTGGCCGGCTGTGAGTGGGCCCTGGAGCTTAGCAGGGACCCACCCGCAAGGCCACCAGGTGACTGTCTCCAGTGTGGTGTCGCTCTGGCCCGAGGGGAGTCTGTTCCTTAGAATCCCCAGGATTTGTTGCATCCTTGCTCCTTCGGGGAGCCCAAGCTTTCCAGGCAAAGCGCGCTAGCCCCTTCAAACTGGCATCGCGTGGCTGCCTTTGAATTCACGTTGACTCACCAGATAGCACTGAATGCATACTTGGTGACAAGTGCTTTGCCTGGCAGTTTCACTGGTCACATTTTTGTCTGACCATCTTCTCCCTCCCTTTGATTTGTCAATATTCCACTTCCAATGTAGTATTTATGCAGAGTCTGCTCACTCTCTGCCAGACAAGCAGCTTACATAGATGGTCTCGGTGAGTCTTGGTAACGTTGCATCATACCACTGCACCAATGAGGAGACTGAGGCACAGAGAAAGAAAGGGACTCTACCAAGGGACACCTACACAGCGTGTAGGTGGGGAGCCAGTATTTGAACCCAGCCAGTGACATCTAGACCCTCTGTGGCAGCCACTACCCAAGCTCCCTGCCAAGGCTGCCCCTGTAGCCCCAGAGAGGCCTCCCCAGGCCCCAGGGACATTTGCTCTCAGCTCTTTGAATTGTGTTCATTTTTAAAAAAATAAACATCCTCATTCTTACTTGCTTTTCAGCAGGTATGTTATTACATTGCTCCAAATTGAACTCAAAGTCAACTAAAGAAATCTGTCATGTGAGTCGCTGAAAACAAGGTTTCCCATATCCTCATTAAAATAAAAATATTTTTTGTGTGCTAAATTTCACTGTGTTTGTTTTGGCCATTGTCACAACCACAGGCCCCTGACAGCCTTTTGTTTGTTACTGATATGACCGTAGGTTTCATACAGAACAGCAAGTCATTTATGAAGTCCTTATTGTACACACAGCACTGTACCGCATGCTTCAAACACAGAAGGGCCTTAGAGTCCTGATGAACAGTGATACAGGTTCTCAAAACAAGAAAATAAGTATGTTCAAGTATCTCCACTAGTCTGCTTTTCAGGAACTCCAGACCCAGACAGGTGTCCTCTCAAGAGAAGCTTCGGACTGCAACGTGTGGTGAGCCACAAATGGCACCACAGGGAAAGGGTGTGGGAGGCTCTGCACCCTGCAACACAGGGTCCTCCACATGTGTCTGCGGGCTACTGGGGCCTACTCGGGAGCCGGTGGGGCAAGCGAGGCACTTGGTGCACCTCAGGGAAGGACAATCCACTTCACAGTCCCCAGCATTGCCTCCTGGCCCTACTCGATGGGCTCCTATTTGTGACTTGGAGCTCAAATAGCAAAGCAGTTAAGAGACAGCCGGGCAAGGGGTATCAGGGGTGAGGTCTCTGAACTTCGTGAGTGCAGGAGCACTGGGGAGCCATAGCAGGATTTGGAGCAAGAAGAGAGATGACTGGCGTGCCCATGGGGAGGCAGTGAAATAAGCAGGTTGGCAGGGGCCCAAGGGCTTTCCCCATAGGGTAGGCTCGAACCTGGGAAGCAAAAGGGGAGGGGTGGCTTTGGGAGGCGGTACGGTGTGAGGAGCAATGTCCCAGTTTGCATTCGGCTCAGTGCCTCAGTTTCTCCATCTATAAAATGGGAGTTATGGCAGGGCTACCCCACCGCACAGGGTGTGGAAAGAAGAGAGAAGAGAAGAGCGTGGCACCGCACGGATTAGCAATGAGACCCAGCTGGACCACCCTCCCGCCGAGGCCACAAGCCAGGCCAATTAAATCGCAGTCTCGGGTGGGGTTTGGGCCTAAGTAGTTTCCACAACATCGGGGAACTGTGGTTGGTCTAGAACCCTGCTCACCTGGGGCCTGAGGTGGGAGAAGACGCAGACAGAGGCGACCCTAGAGGTGAAGCCAGGCGCGCGTGGGTGCCAGGGTTGCGGCTGGGATTCAACTGGGGGCTCGGGGCCTGGCAGCCACAGTACCCCCAGGCCCAGGGTGGGCTGCAGCGGCCGCCTGCACCCGCCAAGGCCTTCAGAGCAGGCGGCCCAAGGATCAGCTCCGAGCCCCGCTTGGGCGCCAGGGGGAGCTCGCGAGGACGCGCCACGGCTCCCTCCCGGTAGCTGGTTCAAACTGGTTTGGGCAGGGTGCGGCCTTGGCGGGCTGCATTCCAGGCCTCAGACTGGCAGTCCCTGCTGGGGCCTCCCGAGGGCTGGGGACCCAGGGCAGGACCATGGGGGTCAGCGCCCTGGGTCAGGAGCCATGCACCCCTTCGAGGCTGGGGAGGTTTTTGCAAATTTAGTCCTCTTTGTTTAAAACCATTTCTGTAGCAAGGTCCCTGGATGATGCTGGCTGTGAAATGAAGCCGTCGGTGGGGGCCACTGTCAGACTTCGGGGTGCGTCAGAATCAACTGCAGAGCTGGTTAAAGGGGGGGGGGAGCCAGCGTCCCCCCACCCCAGCCCCCAAGACTCCCAGTCAGAAAGTTTGGGGTAGAGCTCCGGGCTTCTGTGTTTTTACTAAAGTCCCTCAAAGGCATAATTGCACGTTTGGAAGAAAAACAGCTAGAAGCCGAACGACTGTCAGCCAGGTGGCCCGGGGGTGGGGGTCTGGGCAGGCTGCATGGCGATCCCGTGCCATTTTGTGAAGTGTTATAACCAACATCAGCGGAAGAAATCAAACCTCAGAAATGTTAGACCACTTCCCACTTTCCTCTCCCACCCTGGATGTGAGCAGTGTCCTTCTGGTGTAGCTTTCTATGTTCACCCCACAGGTCTGTATCCATAAACCGTCCAGACTGTGGGTTTGCATGTTTTAAAGACGCTGTTCATGGCAAAAAGCCCTTCGGTGACCTCCGTCCCCCAGCCTGTGTTTCTGACCTTTGTGCCTGGGGTGGTTCCGAGGTCAGTTCTGGCCTCCTCCAGCCAGGCCCCAGCCAGCGCGTAGGCCAGAGGGGCTGCGGCTGGTTCCAGGTGGATGTGGGAAGCACGAGAGCCTCCCGGCATTAGGAAGAGCCACCCTCAGTGGCCAGGTGTGGGCTCAGTGAGGTTTATAAACCCCTTTTCCTAAGCACCTGAAAATCAAGTGTTAGCAGGAATTTTCCAGGAAAGGACTCTGGCCAGGAGACCTGAATATCTGGGTGGGGATACTGAGAAATGAGCACCAGGCAGATATGGGAGTAGGAATCACATAGTGATGGATTCCCCAAAAGGTGGCTCAAGTAGTGTTTAGACCCCTCGCTCACTAGGATAGAGACCGCCTGGCCTAGGTGCACCCTGGGGTCACCAGGGAACCTGAAAACTGCCCGGGCCCGGGGGTGTACCTTCGTCCTCGAGCGAGAGGCCCTGAGTTCCAACCCAGGCACCAAGTCCCTTCCTGGGGATTCTGGCTTAATCTTCAGTCCCGCTTGGGTTCCTCATACACAGCGGGCTGGGAGCCACTGCCGATGGGAATCCGATGGAAAGGAGTGAACGACACCAGTGATGCCTGTCCTTAAACTTGGCTGGATGTTGGAACCCCTGGGCAACTTCAAAATTTACCGATGCTCAGGTCTCAACCTTAAGAATCGCGCGTGGCCGAGGCGGGGCCCGGGCTTTGGAAGTTTTAAAACAGCTCCAGGTGCCTGCAATGTGATTTGCGAACCACCAGTTGACCTAGTAGAGCTGGGGGTGCAATGCTCCACTACGGCCACTGGGTGGCGCTGCCCGCCCAGCCCTAGTTCCGAACGCAGCGGGCCGCGGCCGCAGGGCGCGCACCTGCCCCGCCTCCGCCAGGCGGGCCTCGGGGCCTGCAGCGGACCGGGGGCGGGGCTCCGAGGCCTGAGAGCGGCGACCGACTTCTCAGCAGCCTCGCCTGTCCGATCCCGCCAGCCTCCTGATGCTGCTCAAGGACAATGACCGGCCTGAGCCCGTGCCCAGTGGGGTGCGCGAGCTCGCGCTCTTCCTGACCCCCGACCCCGGGGCAGAGGTAGGGGACGGGGCGGGGGGAGGGAGAGGTCTCGAGGTGGAGCTCTGGGTCCCTGAACCCAGATCGGGACTTGGCTTCCCCGCAGCATCCTGTCGCGCCAGGAGTGGGGTGGGGGGCGAGGGTCGCCCTTCCGGAGCCTGGCTCCGGGGCCGCCCGCAGATGCGCGGCAGGTCGCGCCCGCCCTCCTGCAGCGGACGCCGGCGTCCCGGGGGCGCATCCTCTCCTGGGCCGCCCAGGACGCCGGGCCCAGTGCGCTCCGCACTGCTGCCCTAGGCCAAGTGGCGCCTGGGGGCCGCCGACCCAGTCCTGCGCCCTCCCCGGAACCAGGCGGATACGCGGGGGCCGCGTGGGTGCCAGGAAGCCCCGAGGTCGCGGTTGCTAGGAGGAAAATACCACGTCTCTGCCTGCACTTTCTATTTTAGAAGCATAAATAAAAAGTAGATCTAAAACTAGACTCTTTGCTTCCAGCCAAAGGCAGTCTGTTGACAACGCTGTGAAAAAGTTACTTACCCAAGTTCACTTAACAGTTACTTAGGGCCCCAAGTCAACCCATTTATCAAAAAAGCTGTACAGAAATATTTTAAATAGTGAGCCTCCCTCTCTGTCTTTTCTCCTTCACCCCAATGCCAGTTCCCAGAGAAAACCAGCATTGTTTGGTGTACATCGTTCCAAACGTTTAAAAATGCATTTAGAAATGTTAGAGACTTGATATAATGCTTTACTCAAAAATAGCATGGTCACTACCGGTTGGTAGTGACCGCTAATGGTAAAGTATGGGACTGCTTTTTCCTGGTGATGATGTTTTGGAAATAAAGTGCTTGATGGTTTGCGAATATACAGAAACTGCTGAATTGTACACTTTAAAGGTGGATCTTACAGTGAGTTATAGCTCAGTTTAAGCAGTAACATGGACAGATTTACGAGTCAGTGTATAAGAACTGCCTATTGGAAATATAGTGGACCCTTGACTTACGAACTTGATCTGTTCCCCAGGGCTGGTTGTAACTCTAGTTGGTTGTAGGTCAATACAGCTGAGATTTGGATGTTTCCCTGGGAACACACTCTAGATAACAAGAGGCAGATGAATCTTCCATTAACCTATTTAACCCACATTGTTCGAATGTTAGGCCGGTTGTAACTTGAGGGTCCACTGTGTAAGTTAAGCCACAAATGTGAACCTCCTGTGTAATGTTAAATGCCCTAGGAACCACATGGGAAAGAAACAGGTGAAGTTTCACCATGTTTAAAATGACTATCTAGGGTATCATTTTAATATGCAATCAATGTAATAATGAAATTTTAATTCTTTCAGCCAACCTTTTGGAATCAGTCTTTTAATACTGAACTTCCGACACATCTCTGGACCGGCCACATTTGCGGTACTCGGTGTGGGTTGGTGGCTTTGGTGTCACAGCCTGCTTTTGTCTCCTAGCTTCCGTGATGAGGGAACACTCGCCTCTGTTTCCTGAGCACACTGTGCCAGCGGTGTGCTGCTCCGTTCTTGGGTTGTGTCACTGCGGTGCGGCAGTGACCTAGGGGCCAGAATATTGTTCTCCGATTTTACAGCCCCACAAGCTGAGGCTCTCACAGAACCATGGCATGGAATGGATATAGAATTTATGAACTCTTTGTGAATGGTTCAGAGCTGCTGCCCTCTGCCAGGATGGACCCTGCAGGAGGCCCAGCCCCTGATGGTGGCTTGGTCTGCTGGCCCAGTGGCTCAGGGATGGGTGTTAATGTTATCTTCCGTTTTTCTCCGGTTTGAACCTCGTTCGTGCATCTCTTGTTCTTTCCCTTGCTCTCGGCAGCGGCAAGAGTCTGGGCCCAGTGGCGAAAGCGCAGCTTCATTTTGTCTCTGTTAGGGGCCTCTTCTGAAGAGACTGTGTGTTAACTTTGTTTGCTCACTTGGGGCTCCTTTAACTTGGAAACAGGTTGGCTGGAGCTCATTTGTAAGGGACATAATGAGGAGCCCCAACTCCCCGTGGCTCTGTGCGGCAGTAAAGTCACTCGGAGAGCTTGCTGAAGTTTATTTACCAAAAGAAGCAGACACTGAGCCAGAGCAGAGGCATGTGCAGCCTCTACTTAAAGCTTAATTCATTAGCAGGTCCCCAAGCTGGAAGTGTTTCCAGGTGGGCAGATGAGCTGGAAAAGGCAAGCCTGCTTCGGGCATGGGCCCAGGCGGCAGGGCCCTCCCTCCCAGCTGTGGCCACGTTGGGCTTCTGAGCAGACCATCTCAGCTCCCGGGATGGCCCAGGTGTCCTAGTGCAGTGGGACCTGCTTCACACAACACCGGGAGTCCCTGCTCAGTGCAGGACCTGGAGACCCCACAGGCAGTGAGACATGGGGCCTCTACCCTTGTGGCACTGAGATGCCAAGCACGGAAACCTGAGTCCTCTGAGTTGTGATGAGCGCCCCAAGGCACACCAGGCAGGGGTTGTTGTCACAGCTTCTGAGAGTGTTTTCAGGTCGAGGCTGGGGAAGCCTCTCTAAGGAAGCTGAGACCTGAGCCTGAATGGTAACCGCCCAGGAGGGTGAACAGGAGGTGACTGCCTGCATGTGGTGGTGATGGTGGGGTTGTCCTTTGAGGGTGGGCCTCAAAGCATGAATAGGAGTTGGCCAGCCCAAGGAGAAAACATGGCCAGCAGAAGGATGGCCCTTGCAAAGGCTCTGTGGTAGGACAAAGCAGGGTTTCTTGGGGATGGAGAGAAGAGCAGCTGGTAGGAGTGTGACCTGAGACATGTGGCTGGTGAGGTCTGCAGAAGCAGTGCCCTGGCCTGGCATTGCCACCCCCAAACAAATTACTATTTTCTCTGTCTGTGTCTCTCTTTTCCCCGCCCCTCTCATATAGCTTGTGTTTAGATGTCCCCCAAGCCTCAGGCTTTCTCATAGGATGCTGAATCTAAAGTGTGTGATTGATTCATGGTGGGGCTAGGCCCGAGGGCACCAGGGTTAAGATCGTTGAGTGCTAAGATGCTGTTAAGGTTTCTTATTGCCTTTGCTGTGTTCGCTGCCATGAACCATCTGCCCCTCCGCCATGTGCCTCCCTGCCTTGGAGTTAGCCAGTTATGGACTGAAACCTTTGCAAACTGTGAGCTAAATAAACCTTTCCCCTTTAACTTTAAGTGTCAGGTATTTTGTCTCTGCAATGAGAGAAAAGTAACTAAGACTCTCATTGAGCTTCCTCTTCTGTGAAAAGTTTCAGGGGCGATCCTTGGAGGTGCCTCACAATGGCAGGGACAGTGATGTTTCTTCTAGGCGGAACACTGGTGGCCACAGTCTGAGCAATTCCTTGCCAGGAGGACCCAGATTTCCCTTTGGTCTTGAGCTGAGACCTGGACAAGTTTAGCCTGGAGGCGGGGCTTGTGGCTTTCCTGGGAGGAAGGGAAGGAGGGTGGCATAGCCTCACACCCAGGGCCTTCATCCAAGTGAGCAGTACTGAAGCGGAGAAGCATCTGAATAAAGTCCAACAAAGTCTTTGGGAGCCAAATTTGAGCCACAACATGTGATGTCATTGTAGGAGAAGACCAAAGTTAAACATTAACTGCAAAGCACAGTCACTGGAGTGTCCTGAACTGAAACAAAAATAGGTATAAAAGGCCACGTGAGCGCCTAAGAAATCATTTGCTCTGTGGAGAGCTGCTGCTGCCACGGTCAGCTTTTATGAGCTAACTGTCCCAGGGATACAGATGAACATTTTCCTGGAATTACAGACAATTTTGTTGACTGGATCTCCCACCAAGGTTGGACTTGAGTCAAATTGAACAACTTAAGCTGATCGGCAATAAGGTTCAATATAAATAGAGGAATGGAGAATTATAAAATCAGACCCCAACCTTTTCATACAGTTTAAAAAAGGGTCAGAATATTTGTCTTCACATTTTGGTAGAAACTGCCTGTATGAAGAACATGGCTCTTGATCGCCATGTGAATCAAATTTTCAGCAAGGTCAGAAGTTGTATGTACTGTACTGGAATGTGGAACCCAGAATTCTAGGTTCTATTTCCCTTACCAAAACTTGAAATTGAGGCGCTAATGAGTAAGATTTGAGCTCAGACTTACAGCCCTTTCCTTCCAGGAAAGAAGCAACCAGAACTGCAGTGGGTGTGGACAAATATCCCAGAGTGCATAAGAGCAACCCTCAATCATGGAGAGCCCAGGAGCTCATTGGAGGACCTCCAGGCTGAGTGTTAAAGTTCTTGAAGGACAACTTGTCTCAAAGTTCCGGTCTTGTGATTAAGACTAAAACCAGTCAAAGATCTAGGGATCTCGTGAACTGGCTCAAGAGACACAGGCTCACGATGGAAAAACAGTGGAGCCAAGGTACTTCAACACCAGGGGCGAAATTAAGTCAGCTCTGGACAACGCCATTGAAGTCGTGAACCTGACCAAAATGGCCCAGGATTACCTGGTGGTTGCCACGGCTCGGAAATCATTCCCCAAAATCGGATCTATCAGATCTTCAAGATGAACACCTACAATGCTGGTTGGATGGTGCCATCATCGCCAGTATGGAAAACGAAACACCATTTGTGGTTTGGCCCTGCGACCTTGGGAAAGACCAACTTGGCGAGGCTGCTGCCCATGATGTTCCCTTCTATGGCTGGGTCAGGTGGACAGCTGAAGACTTTCCCTTCAAAGATTGCCTCCACAGGAGGATCATCTGGTGGGAGGAGGGAAAGACGACGGTGAAAATGACGGAATCCGCCAAGGCCATTCTGGGGGCAGTGAGGTCCTCGTGGATCAGAAACGCAAAACCTCCCCCAAGCGGAAGCGACTGCCGTCTTCGTGACCAGCAACACCAACATGTTCAGGGGGATCTTGAACACCAGCAGCCGCTCCAAGACCGGATGTTTAAATCTGCTTAACGCCATTGGGGGCCTGACTTAGCAAACTGACTAAGCAAGAGGTCAGACTTTCCGCGGGGCCTCTGATCACATGACTGACGTGACCTGAGGGCTTTGCCAAGGAGGCGGAGTCAAGGAAGGACCCGCCCCTTCCAG